CCCCCGCCCGGGGCAGTGCCACTGACTGTAGTGTCTTTAGGCCATTCCCAAAGGGGGGACATTTCTCGTTCAAGCACAGTTGAGTAGAATTGTGGGCTGATTCATGTCATGCTCATACTCATACTAACATACATCTAGATTCTAGAGATCTAATCTAGATCTACTCATCATACTATAGACTATTGTTCTGTGCCTGATCTACAACAGGGAACTGCTGCTTTTTCTTTCCTAATCCTTACTTACTATTGTCATTTTCCTCCAGATTAGATCTAGATCTACTTCTTTTATATGTTTGTCACGCTCTTGTGACCTGCTATTTCCGTTGTGCCTAGCCTTGATAGTCGAAACAGAGGTGTTCTTAGTTATACTTTAGCAAGTTAAATTCTTCAGTTAGTTGAGGACTTCCGAAACGAGCGACCACTTACAGATCTGGATCAAAATTCTATGTCACCAAGATTATACTCCAAAATCATGATGGAAGACAGAAAAACACTGTTACACGATTTGTTCGAGTCATGACAAAATTACGGTAGTTAGCACATTTTTAGGCCCAGTTCAAAGTTTTGAAGGTCTGAGTCGGGGATTATATTAGTAGACTTTGGGAATTTAACGTGCTAAGGCTAAAGTATAAGATCACCGAAACGGACCTTGTCTAAGCTAGAGAGATGAGCAAAGTCTGATTCCCTGTAAAGACTTCTCTGTTGACACCCACCCCTTTTAGGCGCTCATATATGATCTTGTTGCGAGCGCCGTAAAACCCTCTACCATAATTTAATAAAATAGACTCACTCTGTCGCAATGAACACTGCATTAATTTTGTCGCAGAGTCACTCTGTCGCAATTAATGCTACCTTTTTCTTTTGCATTGATTTGGTATTGGCATCAACACTCACTCAGCTTAACTAGAGAGACACTGTCACAGTGTGGCCTTGTCCGGTTGTGGCTTTCACTTTTTGTAATATGGAGTTCCCCGGGCTAATCATTGGGAGGTTAGGACGGGGCCGTTTGCTAGCCAGTTTGAGTGCAATGGGCTCCCGGTATTAGAACCTAGATCTAGATTCTATATCTCTAGCATTTATAAAGATTCTAATAAAATTATAAAACAAGTTTGTTGTGTTTTTCTCGAAAAGATGCACTGCCTAGGTTAGGGGCTTAAGAAAAATATTACGAAGTGACTAGATCTTTTTCTCCGAACGTTCGGGAAAATAAAGCTGGACTCTATTTCTCCGAACGGTTTCCGATCTCGAGAATTTTGGGGTTATTTGCGAGATTTAGGCCTCCAGGCCCTCCCACCTGTTCACACCTTACACAGGCACGCACGCTGGCACACACACGGGCCACTCTATTCGCTTATATTATCAACAAATCTTGAGAATGGAAACTGTTGGGAGAAATAGAGTTCAAGTTTATTCTCCCGAACGTTCGGAGAAATAAAGCCGGCCTTAGAAATAGGTTATTAGGGGGTCAAACTGCAGTATTGTTTGCTACAGATCACACATAAAAAAGACGCTAAAATTGTCGCAAATCAAAAGAAAATTTCAAACCCAACTATGCAAAGTATAAAATTATATTCTCATGGGTTAAAACAGGTTCCCCTGAACCCCACCGATTGGTCCAAATCGCACAAATTACTGTAATCCGGTTAAGCTTTGCTTAGTGTGCTGTACTGTATAATAAATCTATAATTTATTGCTTGCATTTTTTTGTGAATGATTGTTAAATTTTACTTTCTTTTTTTTTATATTCTTGTAGCTCAATTGCTGTCATCAAGCAGTGGGTCTGATGTCAGTGATTCGTCTGGGACTGTTGCCACGAGAAGAATTTCTGACAGGATTACGGTAATATAAGTTCCTTTAAAAATTACTTTTATTCTGCAATACTTTTGGTCCTTTGACCATGACAAGCAGGTGAAAGCGAGGGAGAAGCAGAAGAGAAACCAGGAGTCATTTTAATGGAAATTATTGTTTTATGGCCTATTGGCAAAAAACATCATGTAGGTCTTAAGAATGCATAAAATAATTTTGTGGGGGTAAAATCTTACTCTTTTTTTTTTAGGAATTATGTTTCCAAGGTTGACTTGATATTATAGTCCTGTGGCTGAGCAACATGTATGTATAGTATAAGGTTTTACGGCGCTCGCAACTGCTAAGGTCATATGAGCGCGCTGAGCAACATGTATGTATAGTATAAGGTTTTACAGCGCTCGCAACTGCTAAGGTCATATGAGCGCGCTGAGCAACATGTATGTATAGTATAAGGTTTTACGGCGCTCGCAACTGCTAAGGTCATATGAGCACGCTGAGCAACATGTATGTATAGTATAAGGTTTTACGGCGTTCGCAACTGCTAAGGAGCAAAGTGTATGTATAGTATAAAGTTTTACGGCGCTCGCAACTGCTAAGGTCATATGAGCGCGCTGAGCAAAGTGTATGTATAGTATAAGGTTTTACGGCGCTCGCAACTGCTAAGGTCATATGAGCGCGCTGAGCAACATGTGGATATTACTGGCCTGGGTGTGTGTGGAAAATAAAGACTAGAACTGGATTTTCTGAGCTACTCATTTTCACGTTACTCCCAAAGTGTACCATCAGCCCGCAGACGATGGGGATGGTGTAGCCTTCAGTGGTTACCTTCTCATGTAACCATGAATAAATGATAGATTATAACTGAAGCTGACCATAGGACAAGTTTTAATATGAAACAGTGTTTGTAGTTATCTATTGTCAGATGCAGGGATGGAAATTTTCCGTAAGTGGTACCTATATATGTGTACATGTACTAATCTACAATTGAAAACATGCAATTTTTCCAAATCTTTATAGCCTGCGAGAAGTTCAGTTTATTTTGGACTGATCCGTTTCCATCCCTGCCGGTCGTTGGTTTTTTGGGGGTTTTTTTTCATTTTAGGAAGTAAGCTTTCTCACCCTTTCCTCTTAAAGTGATCAAAAATGATTTTTTAGTATTACCCCTTTAGTACTTTAGTGAACTTGAAAAGTTTAGTTTAATGCCTACCACGTTAAAATTGCTTTGTGTTGATTGTTGCAGAGGAAGTCCAGCAGTGGCTGTTTTGACAAACCATTTGGCAAGAGACAGAGATTCCCTCTTTTGGTAATTTGTGTGTTATGAACAGTTATGATGGTGTTGTGGACGGTTTGTGCAGTTTTCCTTTGCTTTTGTGTTTTGAAATTTTCAAAACAAATTAACTACAGGCTTCAGCCAGAATATGTTACAAGTATAATGTTGCCCTTATGATAAGACTGACTAACCTACAAAACATTAAACATTACGCAGGATTTTTGTGTCAGTTTTTCTCTTCATCTGTCAGATGAATTGATAGTAATTAACTATTTCATGTGATTGCTCTAAATAAGACAGGTCTGAATTTTGACTAGAAATGCCCCTAAAATGTTAGAAACTATACCGTAGTCCAATACGGATATGGTTGGCGGCAATGTTGCAGTTGCTTCAAGATCAAACTAAACAAGTTTTTTACTTCACCTGTTGGTCTTTAAGACTCTTAATATCGCAAGGGCGACAATAAATCACGCAACAATGATTCCATTGTCTAAATTAAGCAACGGTATCAATTTAAAGAGCCGTTTGCATTTTCAACATTGGCACCAGCTGATCTTTCAGAGTAAATTTTATTATCATGAACACTTTTTGCTTTGTTTTTATCTGTAGCACAGTGGTCTTTCTGTATAATTTGTTTAGTTAAAGATTCTCTCTCTCTCTCATTCTCTTCTCTTTCTCTTTTTAAAAAAAAATACAAGAGTACTTCGTAAATGAAAATGAAATAGGTGAAATGGCATAATATTGATATACCGACCATTATATTGAAGAATCTTAAAGATTTATATTTTTCCTCCCTCAGACTGACTCGGCTTACGATGGTGATGAGGAGTCTGCCACAACCGATTCCACCCCTGAGAAATCTATCCCTGATGACCCGTATGGCCTTGACCTAATGGAAGACGTTCCCGTGGTGGTCGGAGGAGGGAAGAAAAATTCCAAGAAAAACTCCCAGTCTCAAAATAAACCCAAAACCATGGCAAAGCGCACCAAGAAAGCCCCCGCCGCCCTTGCCCCCATTGTCCCCACAAGTACGCCTGTTCTAGACACTGGAACTCACCACACCAAGCGTCGCTCTCTCAACAAGAATTCTCCCTCAGCAACCCCTGAGGTCACCCCTATTTTACCCGTCAGGTCTCCGCCCGATTCCGGTAGAAGTTTTAACACGCCTCACAATAGACGGTCCACTCGGAAACGGCCGTATCAAGTGGACTCCGACACACCAATGTTGCCAACACATCTCAGCTGTAGCTCGCAAGGGGATTCTGGGATTGTCGTTTCTCCGCTGCCCAAAAAGCATTCGGCTGTTGTCTCCAGCAAAGACTTGAACTACACAAAAGTAACCAAGTCCAAAAAGAAACAGACGGCGTCTCATGCGGGCAAGAGGAAAAATAATGAAAATTTAACGGCGTCTATTGAAATTAATCCCAAACCTAAACGAAAAAGGAACGTGTTGTCTTTGAAGTCAACGTCTGAAACAGAAAACATCATCGGCAACAAAGACTCGCCTGAGAATGTAAGACAAGATTCCTCTTGCTTTGGATTCACTTCCATGGACTCCCCGGTCCAGTCCACCCCTAGTACCCCTCCTTCGAGCCGAAAATACTCTAAATTTGCCAAGCACAGCAAACCACGGACAGTGTTTCCCTCAGACAAGGATTACCGTGTGGCAAAAGAGATCTCTTTATCAGACTCTCCGGGCGATAGTGTGCTGAAAGGAGATGGTCTGGATAGCTCAGGGTCTCAATTGTCTAATCCGTGGAATTCCGCTGGGCGCGGCTCTCCACCCCTCTTCTCTGATGAAATGTTCTCTACAGAAGCAGGTCAGTTTTTCCCCCCTCTTCATGTCATGTAGACTCTTTCTGTGTACTATTTCCTCATGCCTTTTGGAAAAAATATGATGAAATACAGTATTTTATTCAAGGACTATCTCTACTTACTAGATCTGAATCTGAGCGCACAAATATTGGTTTTAGAATGATTGAGCTCAAAGGATGAGCTGTGGTCGAGAAGAAGATTAGGTGTCTGACTTTCCATTAAAAACATCTTGAACAGAGAGCTGATCTCTTTCTTTCTTTAGAAAGGATGATTGGATGAATTTCTGTTTTGAAAAGCTTAATTTCTGACGTGTTTTTTTTTTTCTTTCCAAAAACCCTTTTCAGAATTCATTTGACAAATTTGGGGTTCCTCAAATGGAGCGCTATTCTTTTATTTTCCCCCTTCATGTTTGGGAAACTTGGATAAATTGCACTTTCACTTTTCTGCTGGTAAAAGGTGTTCATGTGCCAAACAGGTTCATTCACTGACATAAGGTGTGGCATCGTTGTGAAATCAGACGCTCATCAGAATAATGAACTTGAAGCAGCCGGTGTTTTTCGACCTCGATGGAAATTTTTATTGGGTTTTTTCATTCTTTGTTTGTTCAACACCTTTTATGTCCATTTTATAAAGATATTTGTCAGTGGATATTACTGTAAAACGTTCATCAAAGGCACACAAAAATGTAAAGATTCTGTTTCGGAAAGCACTCAAAAGCTTTGGAAGTCACTGAACATTGGGCCATTTTCTTGCTAATTTTACCTCTGACACCAGGCGACAGTAATGTAGTAATAATTCAACTATTTACTGACAATTTGCAGGAATTTATTATATATGCTTTTTTTTGTTGAAATTTTAGATTTTGTCAATGAGACTGCCTTTTTATTTGGTGTAAATTTTGCAAATTCTAATTCAACTAAATTGGTACCAAGTCACTCTTGCAGTAAATGACAAAAATTCCTTTATCAAATGGGTGTAGCTGGTTTATGGGGAAGGCCAGTAAGAATCAGGAAATTCCTGTCAAATTTCTTTCAAAAAATAGAATAAGAGATGTTACTTCTTCTATAGTTATACCAGTGCTTGCCAAAGTGGGCAATATCACCCACAAGTGGGTGGTCTGGTTTGGAGGCGGGGATCACACAATGGATGACTGGAGTTATTTTATGGCCATCTTGGAAATATATGTGTAGGTGGGCAGCTATGGAAATTTTGGCCTCCTAAAGGTGGCAAAAATGGGCGCTGGTGTAAAAAAAAGGTTGACAAGCACAAGTTTTATACAGTGGAATCCTGATATAACGAGAGGGAGGGGACCGAAGCAAAATGTTCGTTATAGCAGGATTCTCGCTATAAGGGATCCAGTAATAAATTCAAGGGAAACTGTAAAGTAGGCCTAATCTATGAGTTTGGTGTTCTGTTTTTCTTTTTGCTATCTCTCCCCTGATGATGATTTTGTTTCAACATGACCTCTAGGTCTTACTTGATCAAAAATCGAATCAGGTTTGTTTCTCTAGCGCTAGATCTAGCCATGTGGACTGACAGCTCGGTGTTGGCAATCAGAAAGAAAGGGCTCTGGGCTAACTCGCCGCTGTGTTTTCCTCCCACCCCAACCCACCCTGTGGTGCATTCTGTCTGCTTGCGCACGTCACACATTCGCTCCGTCCATCACATTGCTGTGACCTCTCCATCCCCCCTTCGGAGATGTGAGAGGCATGGCAGGTCTTGATAATCTAAACTGGCCTATCACGCGATGCGTTTTCTGCTTGTCTGCACACATGCCACACCCTCCCTAATCAGTCGCTCCGGCCTTCATTGTTGACACACATGGGCTCTCCTATTCTTTGTTTCGCAAGATCAGCAACAAGTTTCTCAACTGGCGAGGTCTTGCATTATGTATAATTGGCCCATGCCATGTGCACAGCAGCAGCAATATTCCGCTATAACCGACTTGCAAGTGTATCTGATAGCGCATAGGATCTATAGCAGTATTTTGTTTACAAAGGTAAAGAGAAGACAAAAACTGGGTTTAAGAAAAGTGCCTTCTCGTTTTTTCCGGACTCGTTTATAAGTGGACTCCACTCTACTATTAATGCTTTTGTTTTTTCCTCTGGCAAATAATTTCTGAGAGTAACAATTTTTCTAATTTTAATGTGTACATGTACTTGTGCCTCAAGTGACCAACCCATGAAATCTGAAATTTCAATAATCCCGCGGCACATTTAATGAGACTTTTCCTCTACTCTTGAACTCCTTCCAGACTGTTATATATATATCATATTTGTATTCTTCAGTCTTGGTTTTCGTCTGCCTGTCATGTTTTGAGACTTATGAAACAACTGGAAATTTTTTACATAAACTGAGCGTGAGTTGTTTGTGGGTGCTCCTGTCATTTGCTCCTGTTTTCCTTTCAGAGTATCTATCAACCTTATGACACCTCCTCCTTTTCTTTGTATGTTACTATTGTTTTGTTGTGATTACTCTCTAGTAGCACCTCTAATCCTCGGTGCTTGTATGACCTTCTGTTTGTGATGCAGGTGCCATGAACAGACACTGAATCCAAATTAAAGTTAATTTTTCTTGTTCTCTCTTGACCAGATTCCTTAGAAGTGAACAAGTCTACCTACAAGCCTTACAAGCCAGTGAAGGTTAAGAAGATTGTGAAACGGAACGTGTTGAAGGTGAGCAATCTGAAAAAGTTGTGTGTGGTTTGTTGGTTTATTCCTGCAGCAGTTGTGTTCACTTTTGACTTTGATGAACTCAAACTTGAATGAATTCTAGCTTAAACTGTGTTGTGTATTTATGGTGAATGATTGGTGGGCACTTTTTAAATTGGTGTTGTCTGGTCTTTTGTTCTTTCTGCTTCTACTGTCCTCATTTGGTCCAGGGGGAAGTGTTTCCATTATTGTATTGACCCTATAGTACTACAACTATACTCCTTTCAAAAGAATTCCGGGGGTTCTCGTGGTCTGGGGGTTAAAATGTTCGCCTCTCATTCAATAGGGCGCGGGTTTGGATCCGGATAACGGCAAAAAAAATTTCTTCTCTAAAGTTTTCTCCTTTCTCATCCTTTCCTGCTCTTTAACAATGTTCTGTTGTCTGCTTTCATCTCCACTTCCTGCCCGCACCCCCCTCACCTCCTTTGCCCCCTCCTCTGGGCTCCTGACTCTTTCTGCATCCTTGAACTGCTGCTACTCTTTGGCTCCTTCTTACTGCTGTCTTTCAGCCACACCCCTGATCTTATAGTAGGAAAGCTAAGATCTACACCTAGCCTTCTCGGACAAGGGCAAAAAATCTCGGAGGTCCCGTGTGCAAGTTGCGCACGTTAAAGATCCCTTGGTTGTCCAAAATCTGTAAGAGTATGCTTCAGCCGCCACTCAGGCAAAAATCAAAATTTCCTACCAACTGAAAATGTTTAATGTGTCCTGTGCGTTCATATAAACTTTTATACACACACCCACAGCCCAATAAAAAAAGAAATCCTCTACTTCATGCTTTTCATTTTTTTTTCTCTTCCCAGTATTCAGTGCAGAGACTTGTTGGTTGAACTGATGTTTTGATCTAGTTAGATTAGGGAGAAGATCTTTAAAAGATCAGCACCCATTTTTCTTCACCAGAGCAAGATAAAGCTGGGATTTTCTCTTTCTCGTCAATGTCGTAGTTTTCTAACATGATTTTCCTGTTTATGTTAATGCTGGATGATTTCTGAGTTCGGGGGGTTCGGAGTTATTTCTAGTAGCTCAACAATAATTTTTCTCTTCTTTCTTTTCTCGCAGACGTCCAAAATGGATGAGTGGGCTTCCAACTTCAACATGGAGATTGCAGAACTGGAGAAGTTTGAGCTGAACATTGAGTGACGACGATCAACATCGGAGTGATGCAGTTGTTTGTTTGTTTTTGGGGGGAGGGGGTGTTAGGAGTATCAGGGAGCTGTCTGTTTCTTTTTAAATACACATGTTCTCTTACAGACTTTTATGCAAGTTTAAGTTGGCGAGGTTATACCATGTGTAGTGGAGTCCACTTAAACTGAAATCTGCAGGACCTCCAGATTTTCTTTTCAGTCCAGCTGTGTTTTTGGGCTTACATAGCTGCCACTTTTCCGCTAAATAGCGGAAACTCCGCTTAATCTAGCTTTTCCCGCTACTTTCCTCCTTCCTTCGCTGGACCGCTCTCGGCCGCAAATTGCAATACTTTTTTTTACACACGGAAAACACCGAACCGGGAGAGAGACGAAAACGCAGCTTGTGCATGGCGCATGTCCGCCAGTAGCTTTCTACTTCCGTTCTTCTAGGCCTAGCGCTAGTTTCACTTTGTTTATTGTGGAGCAACGAAGTGTCGATCGGGCATCGGGACGTTAGCGCGCCGAGTTGTCATTGAAAACGGCGGAAATTCGAGAGAAATTGATGCAGAATGCAAAAATAAAAGGAGCTGGAATGAGAAAGAAGCAGCCGGTGTGCGACTTGAAAAGTTCATTAGAAAATTGAACAAGCCGCTTGCTGCACTTTGCGTTTGGTGTGATAAAGAAATCGCGGCACTCCTGTACAATGGCGGTCCCGTTTGTTTACACGACGGCTATTGTGGCTGTTGAAGTGAATCTCTCTAGATGTAATCTAGATTTACACATATTTAGATATCTAGATCTAGATTAGATAGCCTAGGCTATAATTTTAATTCAGTTTAGATCTACACACTACAGGGGCACTACCAAGTTAAGTGCGAACGGGACCGCAATTGTACAGGAGTGTTCAGTACAGCGGCAAAGGTGTTGCCTCCTTGATCCAATACTGCGCGTGCTCTACATCGATGTACAAGTTTAAAGTGAAAGGAATCTTTTTATAAGACACCAGCTGGCAACAAACACTGGATTTTTAGTCACCAATTCCAAACTGTGTCAAATTGACTCAAATGCTTGTTTGTCAACTTACTGCCTTTGGGTTGTTTTTTTTTTTTTTGGGGGGGTTCAAATACATTTTAATTCAGTTGCCTATGGTTAACAAATTTGACAGTTTTCCCTTCCAAAGCCATAGGCTAGGTTTTCCAGTATATATTGCCTCTGGATCTCACTGGTTTTACTCCGGCCTTCGGAGAGCGCGCATACGCCTTCGCATGAATTTCCTCCTTTTTTGAAATTCCTGAGTGGCAGCTATGGGCTTAGTAGAGAGATTGATCAAATAGCAAAGAAAGAGTAAAAGAGAATTTCTTTCTCTTGGTTTATCCATGGTTTTTTTTTTGTTTTTTGATTAACCATGTTCGATTTAAGCGGACTCCACTGTAGTTACTAAAAGCGTAATATTGTGTATAGTTCTGTAATTTTTGTTGTTTTTTCTCTTCCAGAAGAATTATATTTTGTTTACCATGTACAGAATTAATACTCCGACCATAGAAGGCATTACCCACAGTTGTGTAGTGTCTGCATTGTTGTGAGGTTGTCCATGCTGTGCTGTTTTTGTACACACAGAGTATGTGACAACTGATACATATATATATATATATATTATTGCTTGTTGATGTTATCGAGGTAGGCCTACAGTCGAAATTTTCCTTGAGAGCCACCCAATGTCAGGAGAAAAGTGGTTGTCTCAGACAGGTTGTTGTGGGTGGTTGGAAGGGTGCTCTGGAGTGGTTTGCTTCCTCTTTCCTATCAAACATCTATCATCCTTATGGCTCCTCCTTTTTTGTGTTTGTTACTCCCTTGTATCACCTCTAATCTGCGGCACTTATATGACTTTATTGTGGTGCAAGTGCCGTAAAACTGTTACGAAAAGAAAAAAAGACAGGTGGTTGTCTTGGACATGGTCATCATTGGGGGGGGGGGGGGAGTTGAGAGAAGTAGTGTTTTGTACAGATGATTGTCTTGGACAGATGGCCGTCAAAATCAAAACAGATGCAACTATATTTCAGTAAAGGTGTGTTGTTGCTGTAAAGTAAAGACATGTTGTGTCAGCTTGACCTCCAAACTTGTGGCTAATCGATCACTGGCTTGGCTTGCTTCTCAGTTCTGAGTGATTTCACGAGAGGTCTTCTCTTGTGGCTTCATGTGGGGGAGATGAAGCTCATTGTAAATTGCCAGAACGGGACTATGTCAAGCTGGATGTTGGCGTATAGGTACCGGGGTACGTCGTGTATGACCCATAGGTGAGGCTAAAGATTCTTTTTGGTTGATCTCAGAGCTGTGCATACTTGTGAGTGGTTGACACGTACACAGTAATGCCTGAATTGATTGATTGATGGATCTCTTGGTATTTTTGCAGCTGTGTCAAACTTTTATTTCCAAATGGGTTGAGCTCTTTTTAACACTTTGCCGCCTCATCTGGCCGACTGGCCATGTTTACCTCCCAGTTTCTTTAGATTGTCCTTAAAATATGATGGCATAGTGTTAAGAGGGTCATCCCAATCCCACCTTGCATTACCTTTTATTTTTTTATTTGTTTTAAGGAATGTCCGATCAAAGTTCTTGATAAGGTATGTTCGTATTATATGTGCATTCTTTCTTGATAAGTTGCAGACATGATAAGGATGTGAAAGTCTAAATACACAATGACATGCATGGTACCAAAGAACTTGCTTTGGGTGTGGTTCTGGGTCAGTTGTTGACCACATTGGATGGACTGACTTTTAGTGTTGTGTATTTGAAATGGTCTGTAGTTTGCTCCTTTTTTTCCTAGCAAACATCTATTGTCGTTATCTAGCCCCTCTTTTTTGTATTTGTTACTCTTTTGTAACATCTCTAATCTGGGCATTTATATGACCGTATTATGTTGCAAGTGCCATTAAAACTTTTACTTTAAAAAAATAACTTTAGTTTTCCACTGGCGAATGTATTAGTGGTTTGATTATAGTATGTAAAAATGAATAATGGTTCTAGGCCCTTCACTGTAGCTAGCTGAAGATGAAGGCGATTCCTATAGAGGGAGGTTTTTTAAAATTGAGTACCGGTACCTCTTTGTCCGATAGGATGCTGTTTCCTACTGGGCCCAGATGGACAGGATTGGAGCAGCCTGCTTCCTAAATGATCTAAATTGTGAAGACTGGGCCCTAAAACATTTTCATTTACTTAAGTTATAAATAATAATAATCCTGTCCCTGTCGTTTTATACAAGAAAAACTTTGAAATTATGCAAACTGAGCCCAAAAATGTGAAATTATACGATTCTGTTAATTTTAACAAAGAGTTATGAAGGAAAATAATCAGAAATTATTCAAAAAAATGATCAAATTTTGCTAAATTATGCAGGGTGCATAAAACCACGGGGACAGATAATCAGTGACTAAGACGTCTGCTGCAAAGTTTGTTTTGAATGGCATTCAGACCGGCATATCATTGACTTGCCATGAGTATTACTTTTAGGAGATTCATGTGCCTTTTGATAATAATTTTTTTTCTTTCCAATTAAATACATAATATTTGATATAATGGTGTTTATCTTTTCATTTATGGTGTTTTTATAGATCTTATTTCCTCACTGTTGTCTGTATGTAATGTGTAGATTATGAAAAATCCATCCTCTACTTTGCTTAATTATACTAACCTAACATGGACTTGGTGAGTGGTTGGCTTGTGCTGTGGTGTGGTTTGCTCCTTCTGTCCTATCAAACGTCTATCATCCTGATCTCTCCTCTTTTTTTAATGTTTGTTACTCTCTTGTAACACCTAATCTTCGGCACTTATTACCTTACTGTGTTGCAAGTGCCGTAAAACTCTTTCTTTAAACAGAAAAAAACTTTGCTTCTCTTATGGCGGGCTGAAAATACTAACATGGACTTGTTTGTCCATGAAGTACAGTTAATTTATGACTTCTGTTACTGTTACTAGGTTTTGCAAAGATGAAATTGGCTATAGTACAGTTTCAGTTACAGTTCCCTTTGACCACAGTACATCTACTGTTTCTCTATAGTGAGACGTTACAGTTCCCTTTGACCACAGTACATCTACTACTGTTTTTCTACAGTGAGACGTTATTGCCGTGGTAAAGTTTTAGAGAAATCTTCCTTTCATCACAGACTTACTGCTACTGTAGAGTGAGGATGTTTGGTAGTGGCTATGGTATCAGTCAGTTCTCCTTTTCTTCATATCATAGTAGGCCTACATGGAATGTTAAACATATACACATACATGTATTTGACATTATTGGTTGTGGTCAGTGTTTAAAGGTCATTGGCCCATATCACATCATATATTATAAAACTCTCGTTTCCATTCATATGAAAAAGTACAGGTTTTGCTCGTGTATCTTTTATCAATATCATGGGTCAAACATTGCATATTTCTGTCACTGGGCCGAGTCAGGCTGGGGGGAATAAACAATTTCCTTTGGCCGTGGTATCAGCGTCTGGTGAAGCAGTTAGGCACTTTGCTGTCACCTCACACGCAAAAAAGTGGGTGGTTGGTGGGTGCTCTGGTGTGGTTTGTTCCTTCTTTCCTATCAAACATCTGTCGTCCTAATCTCCCCACCTTTTTTTGTGTATGTTACTCTCTTGTAACTCGCAATCTATTCTTCAGCACTTATATGACCTTATTGTGTTGCCAGTGCTGTAAAATAATTCTTACTAAAATAATGCATAAAAGACGTGAGTTCCGATTTTCTAAGTGGAAAAAAAGGATGCGGTGTTCAAATATGTGACAAGTATCTCCATCTTTCGGTTAGGATGTTGTATCCCTCTCATCTCGAGTTGTCTGACTCGCAGGGTCGACGCACGAAGCAGCCGGCCTCCTGGATTATCTTGTGTTGATTGGGGAGTATCCCTACTATCGTCACTTTTCCTCTACTTCTTTTGTATGTTTGTCACTTTCTTGTGAACTGCTATTTCCGCGGTGCCTTGATAATTGGTCGAAGCAGACTTTGTGCTGTTGATGAGGCTAGGGAGGTGAGCCGAGTAAGCTTGATTCTCCGTTTGGACTTCTCTGTTGTCATCCACCCATTGGCGCTCATGTGACCTTATGCAGTTGCGAGCGCCGTAAAACCTTATTAGTGCTAGTAAAACAACAAACTTCTACAATTTCTTTTTTTTCCAGTTGTGGTGTAGGCTTGGTTCCTTTACATCACGTATTGAGCTGTACCCGTAGAATTATGCAAATTTAGGAGGCCAAATTATGCCCAAAAAATGCGAAAAGTATGCTAGTTACCGTAACATCATTCGCGACATGCTTTGCACTTTTTCAACGCGAATTTTCACGATTTTCATGTTTTATGTACAGAAAACAGAACTTATCAGTATCAGTAATTTGTTGTGTATTTGGAAAGAAAACAATACACGTATCAGTCAACCCAAAAAAAAAAAGAACAAAAGAAAAAAAAAGTATAATCTCTGTAAGTATCCACTGATTCACTATCAGTAGTA